CAGCAGCGTCCTCCTCCTTGCACGACCGCACGTGCTTGCACTTCGCCTCTCAGCGCTAGCAGCAGCCCACGAGCTTCAGCTCCAGCAGCGCTGCCGCCAGCATGCGAGTGCCCGAATGCCTGGCCAGGCAGCGAGCTCTTTCCTATATGGAAAGAGCCTGCCTCATTCAGCAGCCTGGCTGGACCCAAAAGCTTCCGGTAGCCCCCAGGATGCTGCGCCTCTCTTGCAGCTACTGGGCCTCATTCGGTTGGGCCTCCCAACTGTCTGTGTATGAGGCTGCCATTCTCGACCAGGGCCTGCATCATTTCGGAAAGGCCTGGAAGGCCGTCGAAGGTCTCGCTGCTCGGCCTGTGTTTTCCTCAACCAACTGGTGCAACGAAACTGCCTGAACCCCAAATACGAAATTTACAGCCGAGGGCCTCTCGTAATTTGTTAGGTCCACCTTCACTTAGGGGGGGCACAGATGCAACAGGGGCCCTTAGGCCTGCCGAGGACCCAGATCCTCGCATTCCCTCCTCCTGTACTTCGATAGTTCTCTGAGAAGTCTTCTATTCTGCAGGCATCTTCCCTTTGAGATCTCTTTCGTAGCCTGCAATGACTTGAGGTGTAGTTCTCATGAGTTCTTCTCTCGTGAACCACCGATCTTCGCTGGATCCAGATGGTCTGAATCTGACCCGGTATTGCACTTTTGGCTTAGGAGGGCGGCCTCTGCCCGGTGGTTGAGGAACAGGCATCAGACGATGCTCCACGATTTGGTCGATGTCCACTTCGCCATCCATGGTTGGGGGCAGCATTGACCGTCTGGAGGGAAACTGTGCAGTTTCTGCGAAAGGTGCCAGCTTGGATGCGTGAAAAACAGGGTGTGTCCGTAGATGAGGTGGGACGCGAATCACATAAGAAGGTCCATCCACCTGTTCCCCCACTATGTCCAGGACCTCCCAGGTACCGAAATATTGTGGCATTAGTTTCCTAGATATTCCCATTTCCTGTCCTAGTTCAGATGATTTTACCTAGACCCTTTCCCCTACTTGAAAGTTAGAAGGTCGTCTGTGTCTATTCTCAGATGCAATCATAGCATCCTGAGATTTCCTCATGTGCTCAACGGCCTGCTGCAACATCTGTTCGTATGTGACAACAAATTCTATGTTACTGGGTGCTGCAATAGCCTGTTTTTCAGGTAGTAGCAAATCGAGGGCGGAACGGGGCTTCCAACCAAGATGCAGTTGGTTGGGCGTCATGCCANCAATAGCCTGTTTTTCAGGTAGTAGCAAATCGAGGGCGGAACGGGGCTTCCAACCAAGATGCAGTTGGTTGGGCGTCATGCCAGTAGTACTATGTACTGCGTTGTTGTACAGGCTAGGGACGAGATGTAGTTTCTCGTCCCAGTCATCCAGGCTTGGCTTAATGTAGTGCCTTAGTGGATGCTGCACTACTTTGTTCATTTGTTCCGCCTGTCAATTTGACTCAGGGTGATTCCCTAATGTCATTTGCAGTCTGGTTTCCATCTGTTGGGCAGTGTTCTGCCACAGTTTGCTTGTAAAGCGAACATCCCTATCGCTGAGGATAGACTTAGGTAAACCAAAGTCCAGTACCCAGTTGTCCATGAACAATCTGATGACATAGTCGGTTTTAGCAGTCTCAGGCATAGCGATCGGTCTTGCATACTTAGAAAAGCGGTCTACTATAACGAAGATGTGTCTTTTCCCGGACCTGCTGGTCACAAGAGTATCCATGAAGTCCATGGAGACACTCTGACCAGGACCTTCAGGAATTGGCAAGGACTTGATGAGCCCAAGCGGAGCCTGAGTTCTAGGTTTGTCACGTTGATAGACCTGACAGGTTTCAACATACTTCTTGGCATCTTCCATCATATAAAGCCACCAGAATTTCTGTACCAAGTTAGCTGAAGTTTTCCTATAACCGAAATGACCAGTTGCATCGTGACATTCCCCTAAAAATAAACTACGCAAAGACTCACTACTAGGAACACACAGTTTTTTATTCCCTGCGTTTTCAAGAAACAGCAAGCCATCTACCATCGTAAATTCGTCAGAAGTTACCTTATCCTTCTCTTTGAACTTACAGATGATCTCAGACATAACTGCATCTTGTTGGTAGGCCTCCACCAAAGATTGAGTTAGATCATTAGATATGCCGAATTCAGTCACTAGCGCGCCCAGGTAATCTGCCTGACGTGAAAGTGCATCAGCTACCTTGTTGTACTCTCCCTTGATTGGATCAAGTTGATAGTCATACATGTCTATCACTTGAATCCATCGCTTAAGTGTGTCAGAGAGTACCGGTTGTGTTTTGATCCAGTGGAGTGGCTCATGATCAGATCTCACATAGAAAAATCTGCCAAGGAGATAGTGTCTCCAGTGGACCAGCGCTCGGTAAAGGGCGTAGACCTCACGCTCATAGGTAGACCTGGCTAGCTTCTAAGACGACATCTTTTTGCTCATGTACTCAATAGGTCTCAACTTGGGCCCCTCCTTTTGTGCAAGGACCGCACCTATGCCATATTGGTTGGCGTTTGTGGTCACTACAAATGGCTTATCAGGGTCCGAAGTTTAAGAACCTCATAGTGTGTCAGGGCATACTTCAGTTTCCTGAAGGCCGCCTCACACTCGTCAGTCCACTCCCAAGGGGTATCCAGTCGAGTTAGATCTGTTAATGGGGAAGCTATAGTACTATAGTTCTTTACAAACAGACAATAGTAGCCCGTCATCCCCAAAAACGATCTGACCTCAATAACAGTCTGAGGTCTGGGCCAGTCACGTATGCTGGCCACCTTAGCATCATCGGACCTCAATCCATCCGCTGAGATTTCATGACCAAAGTACAAGATCTTGGTGCGACCGAACTCGCATTCCTCGAAGTTAACCTTGTATTCGTGCTGTCTTAGGAGACCTAGCACTATTTTCAAGTGCTCAACGTGCTCCTCTACAGTCCTACTAAAGATAAGAATATCGTCGAGGTACACGACGATAAACTTGTCTAAGTACTCGTGAAATATCCTGTTCATCGCGTGCTGGAATGTACCAGGTGCATTGCATAGGGCCAAAGGGCATCACCACAAACTCCTACAGACCGTACCTCGTCTGAAATGCAGATTTGTGCTGGTCCTCAGGTCTAATGGCGATTTGATGGTATCCAGACTTCAAATCTATCTTGGTGAAGTACCGACATCCCTAAACTCTATCCAGGAGGTCGTCGATGCGGGGTAGGGGCTCCGCGTTCTTAACGATGATGGCATTGAGGCCCCTATAGTCAATGCACATCCTCAGGTACCTCCCTTCTTTGGGACA